GAGAGACCTTGGGCAACCGATAGTGGTGGGTGGGAGAACGGTGCTGACTTAGAGACGACTATCAGTACAGGCAGTAACCTCTGCTGTGATTTATCCTGTTCATTAAATGGTCTCTGGGACCCAGCTCTGTGTTTACAGGGAGATCCAACACTGCGTGTGGAAGGGAAAGCCCATCGCAGGGAATCAGAACAGAGAAGGTTTTGTCACGTATATGGTTGAATATAGCAGTCGATAGCGTTCCTTCAGCTGAGATGGATTCACTTTACTTGTAACCCCGAGCCCTTTACTTGTTATTTATCACTGAGGGGGCAGAACTGTTCCTGACTGTTCAGACTTGGGAGGAGAGCTCTGGGGGACTGAGAGGGGGGAAGGGCTGTCTGTGCAGCCTGCAGAGGCCAAGTAAGGAAGCAACACGTAAAAGCTGCTTTGCCCCTCTGCAAAGGCTGTGAAGAGGGACAGGAGGAGACATTCCCTCTCAGACTGTGGGAGGCTGGAGTTCTCAGTGCCCAATCATCAGCTGATTTGTTGAAAGTAAAATGCAAAGCTCTGCGTAGAGTGCGGGACCCAGTTGTGCACAGCCTGGGTGAGGGGAGGTTTTTGTCTCAGTTCCCCATCTGATTGTGTCATGGTAAGTTACTCATCGCTATAACCTGCACCACAGTAATAAGTGGCCTCATCCTCTGGCTGGACACTGGTGATGGTTAAATAGCGAATGGCTCCAGAGCTGGAAACAGTGAATCGATCTGGGACCCCGTCTCCTTTGGTGCTAGAGCCATACCAAAGGAACCGAGGGACCTGCCCATCTCTTTGTTGGTACCATTCGACAGTGTAGCTGCTGTGCTGACTGCTCAGAGTGCAGGAGAGTTTCACGGTGTTTCCCAAGGACACTGAGTCTGCAGGCGGCTGGGTCAGCGTGGGCTGCGAACTGGCCCCTGGAACAAGGACAGGAATTAACTGATTATCACAGTTTGGTTACATACTGCAACAGAATCAAGGGTGAGAAACGGGAAATGGGGAAACAGAAAAAAAGCACTTCCTAAAGCACAGTGTGTTAAACCCTCCCCCTCTCTCACCTGAGCAGTACGTGAGCAGCGTGAGGAGCAGAGGGGCCCAGGCCATAGTGGGAATCCAGACGAGCTCGGCTTCCTGAGGCAAACGCGTCTCTGGCTGGGACCTTCCGATTCTCTCTTATACCCCCAGAGCTGGAGAACGGCCCCTTCATGCAAATCAGCTCCCTGCTCACTGGCTGCTGCTGCCAGCACCTCCCTGCTCCTGCCTCTGAGAGGAGCAAGAGGCTGTTAAAGGGGAGCTCACGTGGCGCTGGGAGCCAGGGGGTGCTCAGATCTGAGAGGGATGAGAGACGTATAGGGGCCTTCATAAGATGGAGAGAGAATTACTGTTCCCCTGTGACATCGCTTGGCCAGCTCCAATGGCAAATTCCACCCCAGTCCCCAACTTGTCCCCAATAAAAGGCCTCCTCCTCATAGTGAAATCGTGCACAGAGCACACTTTGCTTCAGGGAACAGCCTTTGCTCCTCTGCTAGCAATGATCGGTCACACTCCACATCGTGATCACCGCGGTGAATTCAGAGGAGAGTCCTTATGGCCAGGCCAGAGCATAAAAGAAAAGGAACTGAGCCCAACTCTGCTCCGGGTGAATTCAACGGCAAATCTCCCACCGGCTGCAGTTGTGCAGGATCGGGCCCATGGTTTGCATTTTCAGGGAGGATTATTTAATCTGCCTTTGAACAGGCTCCAAGCCCAAAAAACGCAACCAGCTGGAGCTGAGACACAA